TATAGTTAAATAACTTTCCATAATTATTGTAAAAAAAATTTTGATATAATTAAAATTTTTTTTTTAATTTTTAAAAGTTTTTAAACTTTAATGAAGACTAACATCTAAGTTATGAATCAAATAGTTTTTTTTGGACACAAGTTTAAGTAGAAAAATGAGAATTCAAAAAAAAAATTTTAATAATAAAGTTCTTAAACTTTAATGAAGAAAACTAACGTCAAAGTTATGAATCGAATATAGTTTTTTTTATTTTTTGGACATAAGTTTAAGTGGAAAAATTAAAATTTTAAAAGATATTATATAAAAAAAAATTTCTAAGATTTTTACAATACCATCTTTAAATTTAAAGCATTTTTCCAATATTTTAATTTAGTTATCCAAAGAATGGAAGTCAGGATAAGAAATTTGAATTATTTCTCAAATAAACATGAGTGAAAACTCGAATTTAGGGTTTTCAGATAATTCTTATTTGTTAGAATTTTTTATGATCAATTCGAAACACCAAAATAAAAAAAACCATAACCGAAATGAAGTTATTTCAATTGTTACGAGTATTTTAGGCAATTATTTTACATATAATTTTTCAAATTTTTATTATCACACCATAAAGTTTTTTGAAGAGGGAATTCGATGCATTCCTTAAATGGAGAATTTGATCTATATTGATTTTTAATTACTACGAAAAAAATTTCTATCGGATTTAATTGCGGCGAATAGGGTGGAAAAGTATGATATTTGGATAATTCTCACTAATTATTCTCGCTCGATGTTAAGGAGCATTATCCATTATAAGTAATGAATTTGATGGTAAAAGTGCGAATAATTTATCCAGGTCAGCCTTGAATTTTATCGCAGTAAAAGCCCCATCTATTGTGAATTTTTTCAATCCACTTATTCCTATTGTGCATAGGTTACCGGAAGTTTTTAAAAATATGGTGATTTCCTGAAAATTTTCTTTCAAGTTTTTAAAAGTTTTTATAAAAAAGGATGTATTTTTCTCAACAAGTTTTTACAATAATTACGGAAAGTTAAATTGAAGTGTGGGGGCTTCCGTTATGGGTAGAATGGTTGGTGGCACATCTCGATGATTTTTGGTATGCGTCATTTTAGGTAATAAAAGCAACTACAACAATTAAATTTTATTTAATTTTAAAACCAAAAAATAAATAAAAAAATAAGAAATATCTGAAAACCCCAAATTCGAATTTTCTTTCACTTATGTTTATTGAGAAATTAGCAAATTTCTTATCCTGATTTCCTTCTTTAGATAACTAAAAGTAACATTAATATATTGTAATAATACTCTAAATTTAAAAAAATTTACAATGCATTTAAAATAAAAATTATTCTAAAAATCTTAGAAAATTTTTATTCTCATTCCCGCTTAAACTTGGGTCCAAAACATAAAAAAATTATAATCGATTCATAACTTTGACGTTAATCTTCACTAATAAAAACTCTTATTATTAAAAAAATTTTAAAAAAATTACAAATCATATTATTAAATCTTTATAAACTTCAAGAAATATTTTTTACTTAAAATCTTGGGAGTGAAAATCACTAATAAATTGTAACAAACATAATATTACAATAGTGGCATATCATTTTTTATTAAAAAACATCAAATAATAAATAATATGTTGTTTTCTTTTAAATAAATGCATTCGCAATATATTTATTGTTTCGCGGTAATGCGCTCGCGATAATGACTTCGCGCAAACAATATTCGCGATAAAAAATTCGCTGTGAAGTGTTCGCGTAAAATGTTTCGCTAAAATGTATTCGCTCTAATAAATTCGCGGTTAAGGTTTGGCCGAAATAAATTCGCGACAATGGCTTCGCAAAATTGTCTTCGCTATAAATGTTTCGCGGAGATAGATTCGCAGAACTGGTTTTGCGATTTTACCTTTGCTATAAAAACTTTTCGCGATAAACAACATTTACGATAAAAGTTTCGCGAAAAAGTGTTTCGCGATAAAAGTTTCGCTGAATTCACCTGATACGTTTTATTTTATATTTAAAAATAATAAAATACTCGTTTGTTGCGTTTCACTCACTTCACTGTAATCGTAAATTATGAGGAGAGGGGGGGGGGGATTTGTTTATAAAAAATATTCAATATAGCAATAATATGATTTGTTGTAACACATTTCCATACTGTGAAAAAACATTCTTATTAGTTAACTTTCCATAATTGTTGTAAAAACATTTTGATAAAATTTTTAAAAAAATAATTTTGATATAATTTTTTTAAAAATTTTTTAATAAAAGTTTTTAAACTTTAATGAGGACTAACCTCAAGCTTATGAATCGAATATAGTTTGTCTTATGTTTTGGACACAAGCTTAAGTGGGAAAATGAGAATTTTAAAAAAAAAAATTTAAGATTTATACAATAACCTTTTTTAAAAAATAAATACATTGTAATTTTTTTAAATTTAAAATATTATTACAATATATTAATTTTTACTTTTATTAGTTATCTAAAGAATGGAAATCAGGATAAGAAATTTGAATATCCTTTAAAAACTCTGGATGTAGTGATTTTGATTTAAAAATTTCAAATAAATAAAATGACAACTTATTAAGCTTGGTATAAGATTTAAAAAAATTATTTTATTATTTCGCGGCTTTGTCCACATAAAAGAAATATTGTGTGTATATATATATACACACACTAATCTTAACTTAATATTATATTAGTAATTGAATTGAGCTTTTATAGTTTAAAACAAGTAGGAAAGATGGGGTAGGTATTTCCTTTTCGAATAATATAAAAATTAATAAAGTTTAAGATTTGAAATTTAGGCCAAATATGTATTTTAATAAGGTACTTAATTAGGTCCAAAAATGTTTCAGACAAAATTGCTCATGAATAATTTTAAATGCAAATTTTAATTTTAACATACCAAAAGTAACTTTTTAAAATTTTACATTTTCACTAATAACTTTTTTTTAAAATGTTGTTTAGACTTAATATTAATTCTATATGAGAAAGAAATATAAATTTTATCAAATATAAAAATATTGACACAATTTATGGTAATTTAATATCTTAAAATTAAATTTTAATTAATTGTGAAGACCTAGGGCAGGTTTTGACGAGGTACGTATTACATTTTTAAGCAGGGATTATTTTGAATAAAAAAAATCCAGCTAAATTTATAAAAACACTAGAAGTCATTAGTTTGTCTAGGACAACTAATGACAATATGAAGATGATTGACTTATTTTTTGTAATTATATGACAGATTTAAGTAACAAGTACTTCCAGGTGATATATGTGATATAGATGAACCCTAATAAATTTAACATATTTGACAATTTATTTTTATTTATTTATTTAGAATCAACACTTTTGTAAAAAAAAATTTAATTTAAAAATGAAAAAGCTCTATGATGTGAAAGGATAATAGGTTACCCCGGGTGTTTTTCATAAAACTTAAATTTTCATTTTTTTTAATTTCGCATTAATAAAAACTAAATGATTTTTTTCTTAAATATTAATTTCTACCCTAGAGATATATGTAGCACTTCAATTTTCTATGGACCTATGAGTGATTATTATTATTACAATAAAAATATATTTTAATTACCTTTTATTTGATACCCATATCAAAAAAAATTATTTTTTACACCCTTCCCCTCCATCCACCCCCCAGAGCAAGTCATACCCATCAAGGCAAAAAATGAATACTTTCAATCTAAAGATATTTTAATTAGATTTTATTTGATACCTATATCGATATATTGTGTTGATAAAAATATTCCTGACCCCCCCCCTTCAAGACCTAGACCCACCCTCTATGAGTGATTATTATTATTACAATAAAAAAATATTTTAATTGCCTTTTATTTGAGATACCCATATCAAAAAAAATTATTTTTTACACCCCCCCCCCATTTACCCACCCCCCAGAACAAGTCATACTCATCACATCAAGACAAAAACGAATACTTTCATTCTAAAGATATTTAAATTAGATTTTATTTGATACCCATTCCACTGGTGATATGACCCATATCATAACCATACCATCATATTACCATGAGTATGAACCCTGGGTCTAGACCCCTTGTGGGCCTGAGCACATAAAAGGGTCATAAATTTTACCACCAAGCAAATTAACAGCACTAGCCACAACTTTCATGAAGGTTTCTGATGTCCATTTTATAGTAATGTCTTTCAAATTGAACTATCGATCATTCAGAAATATAAATTCAAAATGTGACTCTATTGATCATTATGACATAAATAGAATAACCATAAGATTTTTTAATCTCATTTTCTTCATTTAGAAAATAATAAATTACAAGAAAATATTCAAAGTATGAAAATCAAAGGTCTGGAATGAAACTTAATGAGGTTATTAAAAAAAATAAAGAAAATGATGAGTTTCTAGTACAATTTGAAAAGAAAAGATCAGAAAAAATTCAAAAATTTCTTAGTAAGATTAAATGTCTATAAAACCAAGTAAAAACAGGAAAATGTGAAAGTTATAACAATTTCACTCAAACAAAAAAAAAGATAAATTATCTAATAAATCCAGGATGAATTATGATATTGAATATGGATTGGAAACTAAGAATGTAAAAAAAATGAAAGCAATGCATGTTCAATAGATAATAGGAAATTATTTTATAAATCCATCAAATAAAAATTTAAAAAAAGAAAATGATAATTTGGAGGTTAGTATTAAAAAAAATAAAAAATAGAAAATTATTTATAAACCCATCAAATCAAAATTTAAAAAAGAAAATGATAATTTGGAGAAGAGTAACAAAAAAAATAAAAATAATTAAATATTTTAAAAAATTATAAAGAGAAAATGTTTTATATTAATTATAATATCTATTCTAATATATTATTATATAATTTTAGAAATATATAAAAAAATTAATAAAATTAAAAATTAGTTAATATAGTTTTACAGCTATATTATTAGCTCGAATGTATTTTTTTAATTCAAATATATATCTAACATATTTAAACAAAATTACTAATTGTTTTGCTTCATCAAGGAAATATTCAAGAGAGGATTAGCCAGACCTGTAATCAACAAACCTATATCAGGCCTGTAGATCTGAAATATATAAAACAAAAATCACTTTCATATTTAATCTTTTCATAATTTATCTTTTTTAATTCATGGTCATTAATTTTTAAAAAAGATTAATCTTATCTTATCTTGCACGTTGGTCACAGACCTGCCCAAAATGAGCGAACGTGAATTATATGAAGGCCTATCCTTCATATAATTAAGCCGATTTTTTTCTCAGGCTACCGACAAACCTATTACCCAGAAAATATTTTATGAGTGGAACTAAACTCTCAACCAATATAGTAGTAAGTTAAAGCTCAGAAATTATTTTAACATCTGATATGAGAATGAGTTATCCAATATTTGAAAAACTAACTAATTTTGACAGGCATTATAATATTGAATGAGCAATTGCATCCTAAGCGTAGCCAGGATTTTCATTAGTGGGGGGGGGGGGATTAAAAAATTTCTTGGGACTTCACCCCCAGACCCTATTTTGGGCGGGCCTTTGGCCCATTTTTGCCCGGCCTTCGTTCGGGCTACCTTGGTTTATATATGGCCCATTTTTGCCCGGCCTTCGTTCGGGCTACCTTGGTTTATATAGTCATAACATATTTCTACAAGATAGGAGGTTTATTTTAATAAAAAAAATAAGCCTAGAACAAATATGAAATATATTTTTATTAGTTTATATGAAATATATTTTTATTAGTTTATATAAAATATTATAAATTACTTGGATATACGTTAATATAAAAGCATACTAATAATTTATTCCAAACAATATAAGAAATTTATTTATAAAAAGTAAGTAGACATATAGTTGATATTGCTCTATTATATAGAATTAGTTATAAAACACTAGGTAAAATTCCACTTTTAAGGACATATTTGACAGTTAGCGAATATATTACAGTTAATATTTTAACAAATTTTACTAATCAATGCTCTTGATAAAAAATATAGCAACAATTGCATTCAAATATTTAACGCCATCTATTTATTTAATATATTTTGCATCCCACAGGTCTTTAAAAGATATTTTATGATGTCCTTATCAAAATTTTATAGATTTCTGTAAAATATATAATTCTCTATATTGGTATAAATTATTTGATTGTCATATGATAATTGATAAAATTAGATATACTGCAATTAATTTTTGGTTCACTTTTTTTATATATAAATGCCTTTTTCTAAAAATGTAATAATTATGATGAATAGTTTTAGTTTAAAACAATATCAACCTTTACATTCTTTCTTTCAACTTATTGTTCAAGATATATGCATACATTTTGGGGGGTCAGGTAGTGGGAGAGGACTAAGGGGGATATTTTTTATTAGCTTAAAATGATATTCACAAAAAGTGATAAATTTCTGATGGGGGAGATTTCCCCTTGCCCCCCCCCTGGCTACGCTTATGAAGTGCATAGTCGGTCTATCCTCCCTCTTCTCTACAGTCAGGAGTTTATTATGAGTAGTGCCCTGCACGGGGTGTTCGAAGCCCGACTCGGGAAAACTTTTTCTTGGGCTTGAGTCGGGTTGACCTCAAAATTAAATATTAAAAATCGCTTAATAATCATTTTATTTCATCGAAATGTCAATAAGAATTGCAATTTATTTTTCATCTAATGTACGTTACTCCTCTTTTAACTCTATATAAAATTTTTCTAATGCATTTCTGTATTAATTATTACTTTTATTATATAAGTATTTTGCTACAATGATATTGCTAATAATCGACCATATTTATATATTATTCACAATCATAAACATTATAATCCAAAAGAAACTTTTCTGGATAATTTTAAGCTATAATTTAAAAGTTGGTAGGTATTCTATTAGTAAACTCATATTCATTCCAAACAATATACTATAATAATGCATTCATTTTATATAAGAAGGCTATTAATTGATAAGTTCTTAAAAGTGACTATTTTGGATACACAATAAATTGCTACTTGGTAATTGAGCATTAATATTTTAAGTTATTCTTTAAAAATTTATGAAGAGAGCATTATAATTAAAGAGATATAATTAATAATGTGAGAAACTCCCCACAGAAGACGACGGGACTTTTAGATATAAGTTATATGGGGGGGGGGGGGGTCGCATCTAATAAAAATCCTGTCATGTAGACACTGCATCAGACATAAAATTGATATTACAAAAAAGCCCAGATCATTATCATTTAATATAAAGAATATTTACCTACTGCAAAAACATATATTTTTTCATTTCAAATCTGCGAAATTGTAAATCATATAAACAAATAAAATATTGGGAGAATATATAAATAGTTATATAATAATAATATTTTTGGTATTTTTTACAATTGTGAATCAAATTATTTTGCCTAAAATATTTAAGATTAATTATATCATTTATTATGTTAAGGTTGATATAACCAAAATATTTCATGTTTTATATTCCTAAGTTAATAAATCTTGATTTGTACAAAAAATATATTAATTAAACAAATTTGATTAAATCTAATAAAAAAAATTTTATTACACATTTAAGAAAATATATAAAAATCAAAATATTCTGTTTATTATATTTATCTAGCCCATATCAGTTTTAGCTTTTCAGAATTAAATCAGCTCTAAATTTGCCTATATTAAAAATATTTTTTATAAAAACATAGTTAGAATGCGTAATCAATTATCATTATGGAAAATAGCATATTGTAATTTGTGTTGTTAAAGTAACTAGTTACTGAAACTGGTTACATTTTAGCAAAAAAATAACTGGAACATTTTTTGGATGTAACTGCTAAATATAACTAATGATTTTTTTTATATTCATATATATTATTATAAATATATTCAAATAATTTATTTAATTTTTAACATGTTATATTATAATAAATTAATTTTATATTAGACTTATTAATTTAAAATTTTGGTTAAATATTTGATTCTGTGTGCGGACCTTTTTATGTAGTTAATATTGATAAATGAATCAGACAGATACAGAATAATAGCCTTAGTCTGGATTTTGCTAGGGGGAGCAGTATTATGGTGTTTTTCTTATAGATATTATTGGTAAGCCTACATTTGTACCCCTTTGGCTAGATTATATTTTTATAAAAGTAATTTTATTTATTCACTTTTTATAAAATTTTGAATTATAGTTGTTGATTAAAAAAATATTAATTTTTACTTAAATTCTTGTTTAGTGAGATATATTGAATATATTTTATAGAAAGAAAAGGTAGTGGTGTGTAGGAGGGAATTTTATTAGCTTAAAATGATATTTAAAAGAATAGATAAATTTTTGAAAGGGGGATCTCGACTTGTCCCACATTGACTAAGACCATGTACTGAATTATATATGAATTCTGACTCTGACTAGTCATTTAGTGAGATAGTATTCAAATCACTCAAAATGATGAAATCGAAATTGTACCTAAAAAAATACAGTTAGTTACAATACCTTAGCCATGCTTTAAAAAGTATTTTGGATTTCATATAGAGAAAATTGATAGTACAGGCTATATTAGTGTTAATTGTTTCCTATGTAGGAGAGATACAAAAGAGGAACTTAAAATTTGAGTAGAAGCTTAACAAATTGAGATGAATATAAAAAGGAGAGCTACAAAAGAGGTGTATGAAATTTGCGTATAAGTTTAATATATAGGGATATATTTTTAAAGAAGTATGGGTTGGATTTTAAAAGAAGAGATACTAAAGAGAATATAAGATAATTATTTCTATGTTAATGTTGAACTATTTCCCTACGTTTACAATAAAGATTCATAATTACAACCGAATTTCGCGACTCGAGTTGGTAGAGTAAAATTAAAAAAATATACAATATAAAAAAGCTAGATCGACCCATTTGGTGTTGGGTATAACAAAAAATCCTACCAAGGACTATTATATTTTGACCCAACCAAAATTTAACAACCTACAAAGATATTTAAAAAATTTGTATTTGTGATTTAAATTTGACCTATGCCTTATTGCCCGGAAAATCTTGCCATTTTAGGTTGTTGTAAATAGTAAAAGACGACTTTTACTTAATATTAAATAACGCTTTAATTATAGAAGTTAGAAAGCATCGTTTTTTAATATTTTGTAATCTAATAATAAAGCCATAAAAAATTAAGAAAAATGCTGTGCCAATATTTTTCCTTAAAAAAATATATTAGGGACGCTTTATAAAATTAGATAGGGTAGCTCCGTTCTGATAACAAACTTGATTAACAATATATATTTCCAGTAATTCAAAATAATCAATAATTGTCAAAATTTCTATGTTTTATCCTTGTTTAAATTTTATAAAAGTTTAAAAATATTACACATTAAAATTGCAGTTTTATATGTTATATCTAAAATAGTTCAAGAAAATTAAATAATAACGATTATGACAATTGTCACCTTTCTATGGTACACCTTTATTGGAATTTCAATATATAAATTTTAACCAACGTCAAAGAAGTTAAATATGGCATCTGTCACTTTTCTATGGTATCTTTATTGAAATTTTAATTTAACATTTTAATTTAACTTATTATCGTAAAATAAATCAAGAAAGTTAAATAATAACGATTATGACAATTGTCATTTTTCTATGGTACCTTTATTGGAATTTTAATTTTGCATCGAAATAATATAAATTAATTTTAAATATGTCAAAAAAGTTCAATATGACAACTGTCACTTTTATATGGTACATCTTTATTGGAATTTTAATTTAACCTCTTAATAATATAAATTCTAACTTATTATCGTCAAAATAAATAAAAAAAGTTAAATAATAGCGATTATGACAATTTTTCTATTGTGCATCTTTATTGAAATTTTAATTTTATATCTTATTATAAATTTTAACCTATTTGCATAAAAACTCAAAAAAGCTAAAAAAAATAAAATATATCACTTTTATGTATTACATTATATCTTCTTTAAAATTTTAACTTAACATTTTTTTTAACAATATAAATTTTTACCCATTTGTAACAAAAAGTTTAAAAAAATAACGTTTAGGAAAATTGTCGCTTTTCTCTTTTACATTATATATTCATTCAAATTATAATTTAACATTTTATTAATAATATAAATTTTTACCTATGTGTTTCTAAAAAATGTTTAAAATGATTATGAAAATT